CAAATAAGGAATCCTACTTCGCGGAATTTCATTTATCACGGTAGGGTCTAGAACCGATTAACCGCGATAAACGAGGGTTCACTGTATTTTGAAATGGATTTTGGTAGCAATTGTACAACACTGCTTGATATAACTGAACTATGGAAAGGTATGATGTCTGGATTAGCTCTTAATAAAATGGTTTGGAAAATAAGTAAATAAATAAAATAGGGCTTCGCCGATAGCAAAGTGCCACTAAAAGGTGACAGCCAACAATACCACTTTGACTGTGTGGCTCCATCCAGTACTGACAAGAATCCAATAATCTAACAACCCCTGAAAGGATTCACTACACTCTTCTAAGTCTCTCATTCCAGACTACGGCCCATACTTTTTCCTACTCCAGTTATCTTAACCAACCATCCAAAGTGTAAAAATTCAGGACTGTTCTTGTTGTGCTTCATTGGCCATGGCAGAGCTAGTTGGAAGCTCTGTATTAAACGGGCCAGTGGGAGTTGTCTGTCAATCAGACGCTTGTAACCCAGGGACTGCCTACATTCACTCTTCATGTCTCTGGCCAAGCCTCACACTTCCTCACAGAAGTCAACAGCACACTTACACTGTTTTTTCCTCTCTAGGGGGAGAGCGCGAACGCAGTCCTACACTTCTTCACAGAGCCTCCTACTATTCTTTAGTGATATACGACAGGGCTTCAAAAAGTCAGTGGACAGGAAGGATTGATAAAATTAAATCTTTACTCAAAGGACAAGAATTCATCTCTGCACTCCTAGTATTTGTCACAATGCTTGAAGTATTATACATGCTCCTAAAATTATAACTGAACAAAATAAATGGTTATGAAGAGGAGAAATCAGTCAAACTATCTAACAAATGCAGGGAATATTTTTGAGGGAATACAGATTTCAAACATTAATGTGAAGTAAATTATATCCTATCTGTAAACAGTTTTCAAACTAAGACTAGCCCTAAAGTTGTCATTTAATTTATGCTGAGAGAAACGTTAGTCTTTAAAGTTCTGCTCCACATATTAAAATATAAATCAAATGACACATACATACATAGTCTGCAATCACAGGTTTTGCATGAGACACCCGACTTAGCAAGGAGGATTTTCCAGCATTTGGGAATCTGAAATGAGAAAATAAAAGATCACTTATAACAAATATCATTATCATAATAGTTGCCTCTAAAATTCACCTTTTGAATATCTCCAGGATTAAAAATCTAATATAGATGAAAGATTATCTTGTTTCTTGAGGAACAAAATATACTTTGTTTCAATGATGAGGGAGTAAACTAAATTCTCATGGAAATCCTCCATGAGATGAACTGACATAATTGCTGCAACTTACTAACAGCGACTGCTGAGAAAGGTGGAGGACGGGGCAATAGTTCATTCTGGTATACAGAAGGCTGCCACGAGTTAGACTCTAAGAGCCAACTCAAGAGCAACAACATGGTAATTGTTAGTCTAACCCTGGGGAAAAATATCCTCAGAAATCACAAAAACCAGAGAAATAAAAAACAACAAACACTTGGTAAACAAAAGAATATTGTTATCTGATGATACCTGGTCAAACATTGTTATACTGAGGACTGCTTAAAAAAAAAGGGCATTTCATATAGATGTCATAACACACACACAAAAGTTGAAAAGACTAATGAATCCTTTTTAACTATCACCAAGCATCAATAATTCTCAATACATCCCCAATACTTTAAAAAATTGTTTTTGCTTGTTTGATAAGAATTCAAATAAGGTCCATGTAGAATTGTTTGCTACAGTGGCTGCGAACCCACAGGCCAGTGGTTCAGGCCCACCAGCTAATCCACATGAGAAAGATACAGCTATCTACTGCTGTAGAGATTTACAGGTTTGGAAACCCTACACTGGATCTCTCTGAGTCTTATTTCCTCTTTGCAAAAAAAGTTCGTGTTTTAACGAAGGAAACTGGGCCATCCGTGTTGTAAAATTCTTCCCCAGACTAGAGTTCGCTACTTAGTATTCCCACAGTGTCATTGGATTTGCTCTTTTGCTCTTGCATTTTTTTTTAATAAATTGGTTGAATATACTCATAAAGATTCAAATTCATTCTTAAAGATTACTTTGTAAGATTATCCCTTTTAATCTGATGAATCCATGGTAAGTCACAATTTAATTAATTTATTTAACTGATTTCTTCTTGTTAAGACATTTAGGTTATCTCCCAGTTTTTCGTTATCATAAATCACATTGCACAAAGTCTGTATACAGCCAGAGACATACATCAACAATAAGAATTATCTGAGTGATAGGATTACAATAACTAAGCTATTCTTTCTGCAAATTAATATTTGTTTACCTTTTTAAAAACCCTCTAAATACTGCAATGGCTATATGTGATGTGTTGTGTTTAATCTTTATTTTCTTTCTTGGGATAAATTTCTAGATGAAAAATACTAAAACATGTTCATTTTAAAGGCTTTTGGTGTTACTACTAAATTACAAGGAATGGCAGTCACAAGATGCTTTCATAAATCTAATGGTATTTTCATTAACTTTATCCAACAAATATTTACTGAACTTTGAGTTATGAGAAACACAGCATTTCTCATAACTTTGAGTTATGAGAAACACACAGGATCCCTGCCTTTCATTCCAATTCGAAAGAGCACTTTCAAACCCTCGCCATCCTCTTACTTGGCATACTGAAAACTCACCTCTGACCCCACGAGAACCGGCTCTCGGGGTTCCTAGGCTGTCCACATTCACGGGGCAGAAAGCCTTATCTTCTGAGGAGCGGATGAAGGTTTGAACTGCAGAGCTTCTGGTTAGCAGTCCAATGTGCAACCCACTCTGCCACCAGAGTTCCTTCATTTAGCATAATGGTGCAGTATTTTACAACTATTCATTCGGAATTCTACGCTCCACAGGGGCACTCCTCTAACTAATTTCCTGACTCAAAATATAGATAGTAAATCACTTTCTTTAATGAATTTTAGAATAAAATTGTGATACTTCTGTGATGATTCTGGATCATAGAGCATATTCTCAGATCCTGTTACATGCACAATCTTTTTATTTATTTTTTATTAATCATTTTATTGGGGGGCTCTTACAAATCTTACAACAATCCAGTATTAAGCACCCTTGTACATATGTTGCCATCAACATTTGCAAAACATTTTCTTTCTACTTTAGCTCCTCTTTTATCTCTCCTTCCCCCACACTCCCACCCTTGTGAATCCTTGATCAATTATATATTGTTATTGTTATTTCATGTACACTCAGACTCTTGAAACTCTTTGAAAAGCAAGTTGCAACCATTTTTGTCCATAAGTATCACTAACCGTTCTTGCTTGTTTCACTATCTTCTTAATTTCATGAGTGATTAAATACAGATAAATGCAGCCTTTTATTTCCTTACATACAGTATTAGTAGAAAGAAGGTGTACTAGTGGTTTATTCTTGAAGACAGACATTTGATATTTGTCTTGAAAAGTATCCTAATGAAAATTGTAGGGGACAAAATTCAATCTACACAGAAATCAGATTTGATCTGACAACAGTACAAATATACTATGGCACTATACTGTGCTTCTAAAGTTTCAACCCGTTCCTGAGACCAGCTAAAAGGATAGCTGCTTATGACAGTATTCATGGTGATAACTTTTCAAGAACTGACAACTGATTCAACAGCACCAGAATACATATTAAACATTCTACATAAAAAAACATGAGGCCCTCCCCCCAACTACCAGGACCCCAATATTGCCTTGCAGACCTGGTTAGACCAGATGATGCACAGCGGGACAGATGGGAATCAGAAACGCAGGGAATCTAGGACAGATGAACCTCTCAGGACCAGGGGTGACAGTGGCGATACCAGGAGGGAAAGGGGGTGAAGAAAGGGGAAATAGATCACAGGGACCTACATATAACCTTCTCTCTGGGGGACGGGCTGCAGAAGGGTGGGTGAAGGGAGACGCCGGACAGTGTAATATAAGATACAATAATAATTTATAAATTATTAAGGGTGCATGGGGGAGAGGGGAGGAGGAAGGGAAGGGGAGGGGGAAAAAAGGAAAATGAGCTGATTCCGGGAACCCAAGAGGCAAGCGAATTTTGGGAATAATGAGGGCAACAAATGTATAGATGTGTTTTATACAATTGATCTATGTATTGTGATGAATTGTATGAGCCCCAATAAATTGATTTAAAAAAAACAAACATGAGGCTTTAATTACTAGTTCTAATATCAAACCCCCTTTTGGACATCCATTATTTTATTAGGTGATGCCGCTGCAACTCACGACAACCGCAGTCCAACATGACATGGTGTCCAGTCCCCTGTCTCCTTCATGATCCCTGCTATGTTCATGTCCAATGAGCTAAAAATGAACTTACCACTGAAAGTACTCTCAATAAGCTGACAAAATGAAAACGACCATAGCAGTTACAGGTACTCTTCAATGAGAATCATAAATTGCAAAATATTCATTTTGCTATAAGTATTTTATTGAACCACTCAAAATGCTACAGTGAGATCGATCACCATTCTCGATTACAGACAAGAAAAGAAACTTAGAAGGGATGTATAACTTACTCAAGACCAAGCCAGCCAGCAAAGAATTTATGATTCCAATTCATAAAAGCATAACTTCTATGTCCCCTCCCCACAACCCTGACTACTCAATTAAAAAACGAGACTACAAATAGCTAGATTTACAAATTTATCTACAAACTTATTAAATCTGTAATGTCCCTAAAGAATAGGCAGTATTAAAGAAAAAATTCAATTAGAATGGCAAGTTGTTATGTCAGGATCACTTCCTGTTACAAACAAGAATGAGACTTCGGGAAACTAAATCCTGAGACCCAAGAACTGAAAAGACAGGTCAGGGAAATCCAGACTAAGATTAACTCGTGACAAAGCAAGCAGAAAGGAGGATGAATACAGTTTAGCCGCGACCCTTTAATACAGTTCTTCATGTCGTGGTGACCTCCCCGACTATAAAATTATTTTCATTGCTACTTCATAACTGTAATTTTGCTACTGTTACGAATTGGACGACCTCTGTGAAAGGGGTCGTTCGACCCCCCAAAGGGGTTGTGACCCACAGCTTGAGAACCACTGGCTTAGAAAGACGATGGAAAACAAGGAATAGAACTACAGAATTAGACAGAGTACCAAGTAAGGCAGTTGCCCTATGCTTTCCTTTGGCTTTCTCTCTGACTACTGCATGACGCTGTAGTGAGGCTCGGGAGAGAGGTGCTTGGGTGGAACAAACAGTTTGCATGTAACTACTGCCCTACAGGTTGGCAGTGTCATAGAAGAAGGTCTGCTTCTGTAACAATTACAGCGGAGAAAACCCTATGGAACAGTTATGCAAGCCTTCACGATGCATTGGGATCAACCAATGGAAAAGCACTTGGGGTGTAGGTGTGGGGAGTGTATTTTGTAGTTGTTGTCGGGAGAAAGAGCAGAGGAGAAATGCAAAGCCAAAGACCTCTTTCCTCCCTCTATTCTTCTCTATCACCCCACCCCCTCTAGATAGGTGTCAACACAGCAAATCCTACAGCTAAACAGCATTGTTTGATGAAAGAATGGGAAGCTAGCAGAAAAAGACAACATTGCAAGATGGTCAGTACTGAAACACACAGATCTAAGTAGAGGTAAAATAGGAAAATAGTGACAGCAAAATTTAACTTAGTGCTCAATAGTGTACATGGTTGATGTTTGACATTGTACCACGACTTAATCATCTGATGAAAGGTATCGTCTGATATCCTAATACCTCTAATATGACTTTTAAGAATATCTCAACTTTTTAAAAACCTTTGGTGACTATATCCTTCTATAAGCTTTTTAAGGAGCACTGGTGGTGCTGTGGGTTAGTCGTTGGGCTACTAACCCAAGGTTGGGGACTCAAACCCACTGGCTGCTCTGCAGGAGAAAGATGGGGTTCTCTGCTCCCTTAAAGATTTATAGCCTCAGAAACCCTATACAGGGTTGCTACGAGTTGGAAGCAATTTGGTGGCAGGGTTTTTGTTTTTGATGCATTTTTTAGAAATGGGGTATGTCTGAATTTCTATTTCCTTAGTAACATTCTTATAGCTTCTTTGAGCATGTGGCCAGTTTTCCCTTTCTCCTTCATTCTGTAACATCCCTAGTGAGACCTCACCTCAATTGCTGTGCTCTTCCTTTTACAAATGAATAATATCTACACGCCTCAATGTTGGCATATGAAAAACTGCTATACGTATCAGGGTATTCTCAAAGTCCATACATAATGCACAAATTCCATATACTAGAAATATACTGGCCCCAAATTATCCTTTTATCATTATTCCCTACTCATGAACCACTTTCTGAAAATTTAATAAAAATGTGAATGGTACTTACCCTACAAGGCCTACATCAGCTATAAGTTTTAGATCCAGGTGAATGATTTGTTTCTGCCCTTTCAGTGGTAAGAAATTCGTGAGTAATTTACCACCAAGACCTCCTTTAGCCACCAACACTTTGTCCTTCTCGTTATTGAGTTCTCCTAGAAAAAGAAAGACACTTAAAGCAAGAGTATTTAAAGCAGCAGTTCTCAACCTGTGGGTTGTGACCCATTTGGGGGTCAAATGACCCTTTCACGGGGGTTGCCCGACTCATAACAGTAGCAAAATTACAGTTATGAAATAGCAACAAAAATAATCTTATGGTTAGGGGGTCCCCACAACATGAGGAACTGTATTAAAGGGTCGCAGCATTAGGAAGGTTGAGAACCACTGATTTAAAGCATCACATTCTCATTTACAAATTTAAAGGTTTGTTAAACAAAATGATTAAATTCCTATTAAATGTTTGGCCCTGGAAAAACCTTTGCTAAGGGTGAAAAGAGACGAGTTATGTCTTTTGAATCTAAGTTAACACTCATATCTTAAAAAATAATGTTAAATTTAGCAGTCAATACTGAGAAAAAACTCTTTTATAATTAGCAGCTGAAATCATTTAAGTTAAAAATTACTTTGAAACCCAAGAGAAGCTATTCCCTAGCACCCCCTATGCAATTTTACAAAATGTGCATTTTTTCCTACAACCTTAGAAGCTGGAGTACACTCACCTATAATTTTACCATGTTCATCAGTTACTGAAATGCCCACAGGCACAGGAATCTCACAGTCTTTTCCTTTGGAGCCTTTCAGTGCACTAACCCTACCGAAAAAGAAAATCCTATAAAATTAAATGGTTCATGTTTCAAACAAATACAGTTTACAAAGAACACTAGCTTTCAATTTTAAATTGTAACTCAGTAAGAAACACAGGTAGTCCTGGACTTAAGATGTGGTTGAGGTACAATGAATCACACTTATGACTGTCTATTTTTAAAATATACTTGTATCTGTAAGTTTATATAAAATGCTTCCAACTCCCACAAAGACCAGATTTATAAAGATATTATAATATAAGGCAATTAAAAAAAAAATAAAAGAGGCATTTGTCAGAATTTACTTCCAGTAGAGTCACTGGAACAGAACCCTGCTGTAGGTCAGAGACTACCTGTAATGCACCAAGACCCTGTGCATCCATTCACATATAGTATATAAATGAATTTACAGGGGTTTTTAAGTGTTTTTTTTTAACCGGAAGACTTTATTCTCTAGTTTGGACGCAGCCCCAGCTCTAATTGACTTGAAAATAAAGAATTAAAATGGCTTTGTTCTTAGAAAGTAAAAATATGGCACCCTATAACGCCCCTCCGTTTTAAATCCTGCTTTAGGCAAACCGAGATGGCAGCTTGAGTACAGTGTAGACCAGCTGACGAGCCTCTCTGCCAAGTCCATACCAGCAGGGTGCTCGCGTTCCTACTGGGCTGTCTATACAATGTGAAGGGCTTTGAAAGCAGCCACAGCTTGTTTTTCTCTTTCACGTCTGCTCTGTAGCATTGCCAACAGTGGTATCTCAGGTATGTTTCCTTCCTTTGCAGTAGAGGCTGGATTTTTTAGTTTCCTTTGATGCCTGGCCAGTCAAATTTGATGACCTGGGTTTTGGGATGGTCTTAGCATATTCCAAAGCCTTCTGCTGTGGGATGGCAAATTTAGTCTCTGTCTTGTCTGTTTGTGGTTTTGACAGAATGGCGAATGTCTTCATAACTTGTCTTGCATATTCCTTTTGCTGTATTAACTTTTGCATTTTGTCTCTGACAGACGCAAAGTCAGGTCCGAGGTCTCCAAGTTTCATGTCCCTTTTCTGATAACTTTTCTTCTTGGAACTCTTAATGCCACTTCTTTTCCTGTGTCTTCTCCCTTTTTCCAGTTGAAACAGGCAACCTTCAGAATTGCTATGACTAATTTTTATTTGGTTCCGTTGGCTTCTTTGCGAACTGAGTTGGGATACACTTTCTACTCTTGACATAATGGGTGGACATGCGATGCTGGACAAGGCCCCTTCATTGGGCTGCATGTCGGTCAGCTGCACTACGGCCTGGTGATGTTGATCCGTTATAGGAGTGCGCCGAGCATCTGGAGACGCTCAAACAGGTTGGCTGTCGGAGGAAGAATGGAGTTCCCTTTAGCTCTTGGGCTCTTTGATGCCATTTGTTTTCAGGATCGATGGCGGCAGTTTCAATCACTCTGGCATTCTGATTAGGCGTCGTGTCAGTTACTCTGAGGGGTAGATCTGTTCTAGGTGAGTCTCCCCTCTTATTATGAAGTTGAAGTTAAGAGTCAGTTTTAGAAGTGGGTAATCCCAAAGTCAACTTGTCTTTTTCCCACAAAATAGTATTGCTTGGACTTCCTTCGCTGAAGGCCATGTGATCCCAGCAGGAAAACTTCATTATGTGAACAGTGAACTCTTTAAGAACTGAGAGAGGTTACTCGACTTCTCCTGGTCACTGCCAGTCAGCTCAGAAAAGGGCTTGCTGCGAAGGGCACCACACTAATAGTTTGGGCTTACAAGTTAACTACCAAGCAAGGAAGCTTCACTTTGGGGGCACTTCTGTTAGTCTTTCTCCCCGGTGGGTTCCACGGAGGTCTCTTTGGAAGGATAGAGTGGGTCCACTTCAGGTTTTCTGTAGAGCTGTCTAGAGACTCTAGCACTGCTTCCACGATCAACAACTGCCCTTCCTCATTCTTATTCTTCCAGTTAGGGTCATAACGCAGGTCTGTATATTTGTCTCCTCCTGGCTGTTGGCTGCCTGGCGCTCCTCGCAAGCTGGGGCCGCCGCCCCGGCTCCCACGTCGCCCGCGCTGCCCTGGCGACCACGAGCAACTGAGCAGCCCAGTGTGGCGCAGGTCTGGCCCCGCGGGCGGGCGGTCGGGAGGGCACCGCTTTTAAAGTTTTATAGAACTATATTTACTATGTGTGTGGGACATGCTAATGTTTTTTATTCTACTTTATTTCATTTTTTAAAAATGCTAGTTGCACCCTACTAAACTTATTTCACAATCCAAATACTATGTTTTTAGAAAATCATGGGTTATAGTAGTATCTATAAGAATACAATGGTATATATAAAATAGATAATACATATATTTATTGGGTCACAATACAAAATGTTTCTAGTTGCAGTGAAAACAGGTTTTAAAGTACCACCTTAGAAAACTGAGAAGCACTGTTTGAAAAACTCAGGGTTAGCACATGTAAAGGAAAGTCTAATAGTTGAGTTCTTTATCTCAAAATAAATTTTTTCATCTCTTTCTAAAAATTGTAGCAAATGGCCAAATCTTTTAGGAGGAAGATAGAGTGTTAAAAAGGATTCATTCATTTCATATTGTTTCAGATGGATTAAGTGAGCTTTGTTTGAAAGAGAGAAAAATGAGGTGGGGTAGAAGGTGATGTGAGATCAACACAAGAATATTTATATAGCTTGGAATGCCTGAAGTAAGGCTAGAGGAGGTGTCAGAGAACATAATATTGACACGGGATGGGGGTTGGGGCAAATGAAGCAAAGTAGAGACACCTGTACATAAAGATCTGCCCCTGTTTTAAATATTAATTTCTATTACTATACTTCAAAAAATGAACATACCAGTCTATTCTTAAATAATTTGTGACTTAAATGGATTCAGGTCTTTGCACTGGTATTTAAAATCAGAATGATAAGACATCTCATTAAAGAGCTAGTCTTTGACATTGTTTCAGTTTCTTGCTTAGATGTTAAAAAAAAAGTCTTGGTCTGGAAGCTCCACTGAAACTTGGGCGGCATCATTGCCAAAACCCGAGGCACAACTGACAGGTAAGTGGTGGCTGCACTGAAGTGTCTGGCCAGGAAGAAAGCCAGACCTTCCACAGGGAAGGTGAGAATTCTACCACTGAACCACTTACCCAACCAAACCCACTGCCATCAAGTAGATTCCAACTCTTATCGACACTATACTGGGTTTCTGAGCCTGTAAGTCTTTACAGCTTCTTCTTTCTCCCCTAGAACGGCTGGTGGGTTAGAACTGCTGACCGTGCAGTTAGCCCAATACTGATCTCACATTTATAGGATCGTAAAATCTAACCTTCACATTAACACCTCCTAAGGAATAAAATGGCATGAGAGCTTGAAGAAAAATAACAGTACTTGGATAGAAGCTTTAAGAACTTTGTTTGTTTATAGCAAAAGAATGATACCTCATACACAAAGCAACAAGAGTAAATACAACTTCATATGCAATCTTGCCATAACAGGGATAACAAACAATGTACAAGTAGACACATCTGTAGATATGTAGACTGAACAGTTGTGGAATGACATGTGCAAGCACAAGTATGTGCAAATGTTCAGGCTTGGCAGTGGCTATTTCTACATACATATTTGTATCTACACAAAATGTATACAACAGAACACACAGGGCGCACAGTCAAGAAAATTGCTTAGCCACAGTTAAACACCTTGTAGGACTGAATTTCTGGGCTTGAGGATTAGGAATCACGGTCTTGGGGTACCTGTAGGTCAACTGGCATAATACAGCCCATATAAACAATATTCTACATCCTACTTTGGAGAGTAGTGACTGCAGTCTTAACAGTTTGCAAGTAATCACTTAATTTACAAATATGGGTATCTTCCATTTCTGTGCAAAAAGAAGAGTGGGGGAATAAAATGGGGAGGGGAGAGAGGAAAGAGGGACCTTGTCAATTACAGCCTACCCTAGACTGAGACGAGAACTAGATGCTGACCAGCTCTGACTTGATCACAATAGAAGGTCCTGGGCAGACTGACAGCAAAATGTAGAGTAGAATTCAAATTCATAAAAACAAACAAATTAAAAACAACCAGGTTTACTCATCTGGTAGAGATTGTTTAAACCGCTGAGACTATAGCCCTAAATACCCTTCAAACTTAGAAACGAAACCTGCTTCTGGAGACCATCTTTTATAGTCAATCAAGAAGCAGATAGACCCATAATGTGAAGAGTAACACCTATGAAGAATGTGCTCCTCAGAACATTCAGCTATATGAAACCAAAAGGGTGGCATTTGCCCTAAGAAGAATTCAGAAGAAGGGGAAGAAAAACTGGGTGAATGGGAACCCCATGGTGAAAGTGGAGAGTGTTGACACATTGGGGGTGGGGGAGGTGGCAACCCATGTCCTGAAACAATCTGTGGGTAAATTGAAGAATGGAAAACTAATTGGCATTGTAAACTTTCACCAAAACCACAATTAAACAACAACGGTTCCTCACATAAGGCCCTCAGAATATATTCTATGGAAGCAGCAAATATTCACAACACAAAATAAAGGGATGGCTTTGCTGCCCTGGAGAAGGTCAAAACAGAAGCAAAAGGAAAACACACTGTATACAATGAAAACAGAATGTGCCTTAGTGGCAAAGATGGCTAGACTTCATCGCATGTACTTTAGACATGTTATCTGGAGACTCTAGTCCCTGAAAAATGACAACATGCTTGGTCAAGTAACGGGACAATGAAAAAGAGGAAGACCCTTGACAAGAGGGATTGAAACGGTGGCTGCAACAATGGGCGGAGGCATAGGAACAACTGTGAGTAAGGTGCAGACTGGGCAGTGTTTCCTTCTGTTGAACCTAAGGTCGCTATGGGTTGGAACCGGCTCGATGGCACCCAACAACAACAACACAAGAGAAAGAGGCTCTAACTTTTAAGCAAGGCCTAAGAGTTCCTGGAAGAACGCTTGACGGTAGAAGGTATAGTAATATGATTAAAACTTGAGGAAGGTTTCCTAAAGACTTTCATAGATAATCCCAAGAGGCGCATGGTGTTTCTGACTGTTCTGTTTCCGTTGAGGAAGTCAGAAGGTCTGGTATCACAGTGGGCTGTGCACTAGAACCAGCTGCTCTGCAGGAGAAAGGTAAGGTTCTTTGTTCCCCTAAAGATAGAAAATAAGTGTCTAGAAAATAATGATGGCAACATATGCACAAATATGCTTGATACAATTGATGTATGGATGTTATAAGAGCTGTGAAGCTCCCCCAATAAAATGATCCTTTAATTAAAAAAAAGATGCATAGCCTTAAAAATCACAGGGCAGCCCTCCTTTGTCTTTAGGCCACTGGGAGTTGGAATCACCTTGATGGCAGTGAGTTTGGATTGAGAACTAGATGAAGAGAGAAGAATACCAACAGATATTGGGAGAAGAAAAGCCTTTTATAAAAATCTAAAGGCTCCAAAAGATTTGATAGTACCAGTATTTTATTTTTCTTAGAAAACTGTATTTTTTATTCAGTTACACACATAGTTTTGTTTTCTGGGAAGTCCTGATTTTACCAAATCACAGTCATCATTAAGAACTTACCGACTGTTTGCGCCTTCGCCAGCCACAAATCGTTTGTGTGGGTATTTGTCTTTAAGTTGCTTTAAAGTCATCTTTTTTTCTGCTACAACCCAGACGTCACCACCTTTTCCACCTTCTCCACCTAATCGAGGATAACCCATTCCACCACTTCCTCCTTTGGTGAAGAGTCTTAGGTTATCAATGAAGTTTCCATACTAGAGAGAGAGTGTATGTGAGAGAGAGAGAGAGAGAGAACATTTCAGTGTTCTGTTTACCAACTTAAAAGTCCTACTGCTTTTGGTCACTAAAACAGGTTTTCAAAGTATACCATTTCACCATTTTCTTAACTTACCTCCTATCTGATCTCCCTTTTCCCTTTACTTATCTCTAAATGGCCTTTCCTACTTTTCTTTTTGCTCGTTTTACAATTTTCAGTAGTTGTCCCATCAATCCTTAAAGTCTTTGCCTTGGGCCTTCTGTTCCAAATAGTACCTATATGAGGTATTTTCCATAGATAGTCTGTTGGACCGCTCTACCAGGATATAAACATTTTAATGGTTTACAGCAAATGAGAACTGGGTCTGTATTTAATGTATATTTGAACATACTCCCCCATATATGTAACTAGTACACAAGTATTAGTTGAAAAAATAACTTACCTCAAATACAATAAGCGAGAGCTTCAGAAAGTTCATAGGGAAAAATAGTTCCCAGGAAAATAGAAGGAAAAGATGAAAAATTTCCCATGGACTTTATGAAGCTATCTCATATTAACATGACCCAAACTTGACTTGAGGCAAAATCTGCTCAAGGCAAATTCCACAAATGGGAATCTTTCAAATGATACCTCTTCTTTTCTGAAGCCCTGCTAACCCTTAACTTTCCCTTTTCCGTATCACTGTCCTTGTACCTGGACAATCACATCAGCACCTCACTGCTTTGTCAGTCTCTTGTCATTCCTTCCTGAATCCCTTCTCCATCTTGCTGCCCATGTTCTAGAAAATTGATCATATCTCTTCTCCCTTACTAAAAAACTAAGCACTGTTTATTAATTTTTTTCAGTTTATGATCTAGCCAATAGTTAATTTTAACCTACTTAAACTACTGCTTGAATTTTCAATCATTTACCTCCCTGTACTCATCTCTTCTCCTATATCTCTGCACTACTCCGTCTATTGTCACCCCTCCCTGCCCCTCTGGTCATGCTTTCCTTTTGCCTAGACCACCACTGGTTCTTTTCTATCATACACCCTCCTTCACTGTCATACTTTCTGTGATGTTTTTCTTAAGTCCTCTAATTAACATTGACCATTGACTTGGAGAGGCCCTCAGCACTGTGACTAAACTTCCATTATTACAACGTATTCTGCTTGCTTTTGTTTACTAGTGTTGCCCTCTTAAATTGGGAACTTCTTGTAGGTAACAATCTCTCAGGCTATCAGAGTTCCTTAAGAATAATTTTTCATAACATTATGAATAAAAATTCATAATCTCCATGCTGCTGGTTAAATATGGGAACACTAACTGAAAGGTCAATGAGTCAAAACCAGCAGTAGCTCTGACGAAAAAGATGAAGCCGTCTGTTTCCATAAAGATTTACAGCCCTGGAGCCCTATACAGTAAGAATGGACTTGGTGATAGTGGGTCATGTCTTTTAGTCATTTAGGATAATCCCCCCCAAAAATTGTGAATTAGGTGGGGGGAGGGTGGTTACACTTTAGAACCATTTTAAAGTACCAAAACATCTGGTAATTACTCCCCCTTCCCCCATCATATATGCCTTACTGACCATTTTGATTTGGTCTGGTTAAGGTATTTAGCAAGCTCCCTTGGTGCTTCTGATGCACCAAGATAAGAGATTGAAGTGGTGGGAGAGTAAGACAGATTCAAAATGTAGGTCTTTGTTTAATATTCAGTAAGTCACAACTTGGGGGCAAGCCAGGATATTTTCCTGTGCTTAAGGAACTTGTACTTTGATGGAAGCTAGATCAGAAATGCATCAGTAATACCTGCCCGGACTCCCTTTCAAACAGGGGAAGTGCTATAGATAGTGCTAGGGCTACACAAGTAACCCTTAACGATGCAGTTGAAGGATCTGTTACCTCGCATGCCTTAATGCGTCCTGTCATGAGTCTCTTTCCATATAAATACCCATTTTGGAACCTAAGGTGCTCTGGTGGCGTAGTGGCTAGCACTGGCTGAAATCCAAAGGTCAGCAGTTTGAAACCCCCAGCGCTCTGCAGGAGAAAGCTTTCCACTCCCGTAAAGAGTTAGTCTAGGAAACTCACACGGAGCACTCCACTCAGTCCTACAGGGTAGCTATGAGTTGGCATCGACTTGCGGGCAGTGAGTGAATAGCGTCTAAAACATATTCAGACATATTACGAATGATGCCTCTCTGGAAAAGAAAGCTCCCATTTTAAAAGTCCGGCTAACTGTGTTTTACTGCTCTAGAATCATCAGATCAGGATAATCTAACTCTGGTCCTAAATATGATCATAATGTCCGAAATATCAAACCAGAAGGTCTTCCAAAAAATACTACCATTAGGCACTTCTAGAAGACCTTTAAAAATATCTGAACAGCTGTACTTGTTTTTGTAACAGAAATGATTCCAAAACTGATACTACACAAAAACTGATCTAAATTCCCTGCAAAAGGGAATTACACATTCTTTTACTGCATAAATGCCTTCAGAAATATCTTAAAAACAATACACTCAAGGGAAAAACAAACAAAAAGCAGGATTAGAACAGGCTTCAGATAGGATTACCTGAATGAAAAACCACACACCTACATTAACAGTACTCCTATTTGGGCTAAAGGGAAGTTAATCCTACACTAACGTGTGTCTAACTGGAAGGCTTGTCACCCTTAGCTCCCACACCTGTTAAGCACAGCTCCCCAAAAGAACCCATAATCCTGCGCCCAGGCATCTTTCCCATTCCTGACAGGAAAGCTAGACTTCCGGAGGGGCGAAGGAGGGGGTACGGAAGAGCCCAGCGGGAAAGAAACGCCAGAATGAAAGCAAAGTGGGCGCGTCTGCGTCCTCACGTGGGATTAGAGGGTAGCAGGCGAGGGGAAACGTGCACAGACCTTTCGGAACAACAAGCAACTGCTGCGAACCATAGCAACGGCAGCGCAGGATTCCCTCTGGCGGAAGTGGAAGGCGTCGAATGACGGCGAGTCGTTTGTACGTCACAGCCAGCCGCCCACTTGGTCATTTCACCGCGCCGCCCAGTAGGGCTCGGCGCATGCGCCGTGTGGCGGTGCAGAGCGCGACCGTGTGCGTCCGGAATGGGTCTTTCTAATTGAGTGGCCGAGTCAATGCCGACTCCTAATGACCTTTTCGGACAGAGTGGAATTTAGAGCTTCTGAGACTAAATCTTTACGGCAGCAAACAGCGCATCTGTCTCCAGTGGAGCCGATAGTGGGTTCGAACCACCGATCTTGCACTTGGCGGCGCAACGCTGAACGCACAGCGCCGCCAGACCTCCTGTGGCTGGAGAAACTAAGATACCTTCGAGGCATTTATATGATAATGCAAGGTATCTGAGTTAACTCTCGGGGGTGGGGATGGGAACAAACTTCAGACAATAAAGCCAAACGCTTAAAAGACACGAAAGTTCGTCTGGAAAAGAAGACCCTGGAAAGCTGTTAGTTCATTAATGAGTGGTTGCCAACAAGAACTCAGGAGACAACGAATCAAAACGTCACAAAAGTATTATTGAAAATGTCAGGATCGGAGACTGTGCATGGGGGAGCAAAACTGCCAGACAGGCTTTATCCAAATCTCGTTTAAAGCGTGTCTTTGTGAAAATGAGAAAGTACCTTTCCTCAAACTGGGCTGAATGAGAGCCTCACCCATGCTTTTACACACTAAGAAATGTACACACCAGGGTGCCCTGCACAACACTGTCAGCTTCTGATTCTTAGCCATCAAGACTTCGTTTTAGGAACCTCTTTTTTACATCTCAATGTGACAGTCTTTCTGCTTCTCATTTATGACAGTGATTATTTGGAAATGAACATGGTGAAAACCATCCCTCTCAGTTCTTTTTGTAATCATGGACCTCTTTTTCATTTCCACCGATCAATAAAGCTCAAATTATTTTGCTGTAATGGTTAGATTATTTTAATGATGACTATTAATCCAAGCACAGATGTTTATCTCCATCAAGGTATATCCCTCATTAATCGGGACACGTTTTAGTTTGTCTAGTAGGTGATCCTAGAATGTCAGATAGGATTGTGCCCAATATATTTAATCCATGTTTATTCCTTATTGCTGGTTAGTGGACTCAGGTCCAAAATGTTCCTTCCCCCGCCAACATACAGATGGGAAATGATTACAGGAAGAAAAATCAATGAGAACTTGATATCCAAGTGTCTCCGAGGGCTGAGGATCATTGTGTACTATAAACAAAGCAGAAAGCATCATATTTTCCTTGAACAAAATATGCTCAGGATCTAAAGTATTTATTACAGCTCTGCTTACCAGATAGTAAAGAAAACACTGTGAAGCTGGAAAATATGCAGCTAACATGAGCATGGAGTTAGATGATCGAAGGCGTTATACAGAGCTGGTCCTGAAGTCATTACTGAAGGAGAATGTTACTCCTATCATTCAGAGTAGAGGATGTCTCCACTATGGTTGTCCAGAAGATTGAAAGGGAAGAAAAGCATTCGGTGCTACTGAGGAATCTCACGCAGTAGGCATGATGACCCCATATGATCCATCGGCATAACACACAATTAGATTTTTTAAAATTAAAAATATATACTAGTGTTCTAGTCAACATTTCTTAAAAAGAAACATTTTATTGTGCAATAGTCTTAGATTTCCTAGAAGTTGGAAAGATAAGTACCCAAAAGGTCCTGTAACCCCTTAACCCTGCTTGCCCTAATATTAACATCTTCCATACATCAAAACTAAGAGATTAATACTGGCACAATACAAGTAACTAAACTGCAGACTTTATTTGGACTTCACTAGTTTTTCAGTTATGACAGGATCCAATTCCTGGCCACCACATTGCATTTTAGGGTAGCAACCATATTTTATGTAAATTACATGCATAGTACACAATATTTGCTAACCCTGTGTTATTTTGCTAACCCACGTGTTATTTTCATAAGCATGCTGTATCAATTTTTAACATGTTGCTCATTTTTTCCAACAGATTCAGTGTTACAAAGATAAAAATTAATTATTAACTTTAGTAGTTGGTGTATGCATTTGGATAATAGTTATATTGACTGGATCTCCTTGTATATGTATAGACAGACAGAACTGTACTTAAAGAGCTTGAAATGTCCTTTTTGATGATGAATGGGATACCATTCCTCCTGAATTTGTCATGCCGACATTGTAAACGTTAAGACGATTTGATTCAAAGTGGCCAATATCAGTCTGTTTCAGTTCACTAACATCTACGATATTGATCTGTATGCAGTCCATTTCATTTTCTGCAATTTCCAAAGTTTCCTAGATTCATACTTGTTACATCCCAAGTCCTGATTATTAGTGGATGTTTCTACTCGTTTGAGTTGTACCCCATCAGCAAATGAAGGTCCCCAAAGCTGCACTTCATCAACGTCATTAGTGCCAACTGTATCTCGAGAAGCAACTCTTCCTCAGTCATATTTTGAGTGCCTCCAACTTGAGGGGTTCTCATCTTCGGGCACCCTCGCTGACAGTGCTCTGCTGCTACTCATGAGGTTTGCAGTGGCTAATTCCTCAGTAGAACCGACCCCTGGGATTCCCAAAGCTGCAAATCTTTGCAAGGGTAGATGACCTTAACTTGCTTCCTCAGAGAAGCTGGTGGATTCGAACAACCAAACTTGTAATTATCAGACTAACACTCAACACACACACAAAAAATAGTAAACCCATTGCCTTCCAGTCAATTAAAACTTGTGGTCACCCCCATTTGTTACAGAGTAGAACTGCCCCCATGGTTTTTTTGGCTCTGGTCTTTATGGAAGCAGATTGCCAGGTCTACCTTCCATGGTACCACTAGGTGGGTTCAAACCTCAATGTTTAGTCCAACCCACTGCCATCCAGTCAATTCTGACTCCTACCAACCCTCTAAGGGAGCCCTGGCGGCACATTGATTACGTGTTAGGCTGCTAACTGCAAGGTCAGCAGTGCGAAACCACCAGCCGTTCTGTATAAGGCTTTCTACTCCCATAAAGAATGATGGTATCTGAAACTCACAGGGGAAGTTCTGCCTGTCCTATATGGTCATTATGAGTGGCCATCTACTCATTGGCCATGAGTTTGTTTTGTTTAGCAACCCCACAGGACAGAATAGAACTGCCCTTGTTTCTGAGGTTGTAAAGCTTTACAGCAACAGAAAGTCTCATCTTTCTGCCCTTGTGGATTTGAACTGCTTACGTTTTAGTTAGCAGCCAGGGCATAATCCATTATGCAATCAGGGCACCTTTTTTAGGTTAGTAGTCCAGTAATTATGTAAACTAAAAAAACCAAAATCACTTTTTATCAAGTTGAATCCACCTCAAGGCAACCTAATAAAATAGATTACAACTGCTCCACAGAGTTTTTGAGGATGAAAATCTTTTGGGGAGCAAGCAACTTCATTTTATTCCCACAGTGTGGGCCATGAGAATCCTCAGTAATCTTGTAAGGGAGTTGTAATGACTAATTCATGAATATACATAGCTTTTATCTTCTTGGACAGCTCATTTAGTGAAATTTTGTTTCTGCATTTTGATTCCTTTGTTTTTACTTGGTTTTTAAAAAAAATCAGACATAAGTCTAAACAAAATAAAGTATAAGAAACAAGGAAATCTAAATGGAGGTTTATGGTAAAGAGCTGCAGAAGAAAGAAAGGGTTTAAAGGAGAGAGGAAAGTCATCTAGGGAGGCAGAGAAGTTTGCAGGGAAGCTGCGTTAGACAGGGTTCTCTAGAGAAGCAAAACCAGGACACTTATGATTATATATATGGATAGATATATACAGCATGAAGGAATAAAACAGCTAATTAGTCCACGCAGCAGTAGAGAGGGCTCAGTTCAACTCACTTCAGTGGAACCATTAATATACTTGAAGTCCTTCAACTCAGGAGGGCTGCTGGGCCCAAGGTCAAGGAAGCAGACTGCTGAGTCTTCCCTAAGGTAATGCAGGCAGTCCAGCCACAGGCAGGAAACAGCCAGGCAGGTCGCCAACAGTGGGCAGCTCAGTTGCTTAGTGAAGTAGGCCCAGATGGGACATTGAACTCAAGCAAATGCAAGACAGCAGAATCCAACAGCTTCAAACCCAAGCAATGTATACACCAGCAGTGTGACGAAGCAGGTCTCAAAGGAACCTTAAACTCTAGCAAAAAGATCCATGGATTGGCTGCCCCACAAGTAGTATAGCTCACAAGTTGAGGCAAAGAACTAGCTAAAGCAGCTGAACGCTGCTCCGATCACCAGAGAGCAAGAGAGATCGGGGAGGGGCTTGCCAAACCATTTATCTCTTTGCCCTCCAATCAAATTACGACCTTATTAATCCCACATGTTCCTATTGGCCAGATTGGCACAATAAACCTACCTATCACAGAGGCTACAAACTAGAAATGGGAAAGGGTTGGATTTTCTATGCGTAATTGTATTGTTAGAGTGGTGGAATTAGAATATTTTAAAGAAGTGCTATCTATTAAAAGAGCACTTTCCCCTCTCCTTTTGGAGTTTCAAGTCAGAAAGAATATCTAAAATACTTCTAATTGTATTTTATTCATTGTTATGGATTTTCCCTTTACATTTCATTAATATTGTTAAGAATATACACAGCAAATATACACCAATTCAATATAATTCATACATATACAATTTAGTGACATTGTCATTTTCTGAGTTGTTCTTCCCTCATTAACATGAACTCAGTGCCCCCTAAGTTTCCATTTTAGCCTTTCAATTTTCTTTTGTCACTTTGGTCCCTTATTGACAGCGCTTATAAGAATATAATGCTAAAGCAGTCCTTTTACCACGTCCTTTCCTTTTTTCTAGCTAAACCACACTATTGCTCTATTTTAAATAGAGTCCAGGAAATATTTGGGGTTTAAGATTTAAATATTGTCTCCAGGCAATATTCATTGAGAGTCCATCCACCCTCTATGGCTCCAGAAAGTTCATGAAAAATTTAAATTCGATTCTACATTTCTTCATTTAAA